TGCTTTCAACCCCCTCGTCCAAGTCGCTGATGAAGATGTTAAACAGTGCGGGCCCGAGGACTGAGCCCTGGGGTACCCCACTGCTTGCATCTCACCAGGCTGAGTACGACCCATCCACCACTACTCTCTGGGTGTACCCCATCAGCCAGTTTTTTACCCATCCAACTTCGTAGGAATCAATGCCACAGTCGCTTAATTTATTAATGAGAATGGGGTGGGAGACAGTGTCAAAGGCCTTCCTGAAGTCTAGAAAGACTATGTCCGTGGTGACACCATCATCCAAGGATTTAGTTACCTGGTCATAAAAGGCAATCAGGTTGGTCAGGCAGGACCTGCCTTTGATGAGCCCATGCTGGTTGCCCCTCAGCATGATCTCCCCTGCTGGCCCCCCACAGATGTGCTCCTTGATGATTTTCTCCAAGATCTTCCCAAGGACTGAGGTGAGGCTTATGGGCCTATAGTTACTTGGGTCCTTCTTCCTCCCTTTCTTAAAATAGGGACCACATTAGCCAGTTTCCAATCCCCTGGCACCTGGCCAGATGACCATGAATGCTCATACAGCCGGGTCAAGGGCTCCGCGATGACCCCTGTCAGCTCCCTCAACACCCTTGGGTGGAAGGCATCTGGAGCTGCAGATTTAAAAAATGTCCAGCCCTTCCAGAAGATCCCTAACTACCTCTGCGCTGACCCAAGGCCTGTCAGAGCTATCCCCAAGATTGTCCCTACCTCTGGCAGGAGGGAAATAATAAATACATTTTAAAATAGTTTCAGTTTAGCAAGACATCTCAGCTCAGTGTTCACATGACATAATTACTCTTTTGCCAAATCCACCTCACAAAGGTGACAAGTCTGCATGAACATTTCTGTGTTGTAGTTGGCCAAGGCCATAGTCTCCTGAACCATTTTCAGGAGTTCTTGGGTCCACTTCAGTAGATACTGGCTTGCGTTGTGCCAAAGACGGTGCAAGTCAGGGAACTACTCCAAACTAGCAGGCAGAATCTAGGTTCTAACCACAGTCCTGGTTTCCTGCATTCTGAATGAGCCTGTGTTGGTACTTGCATCACTTCAGCCAGCTTGAGCACCTTGCTGCCTTGTGGCAGCCAACGTACGTGGGCCTCTGTACAACACTGTAAAAAGTTTGATACTCTGACAGATTGTTCTCAAACAAAGTTTGTCACTGGAGAGTAGTGAGCATCAACCCTCTACCAGGTATCTACTATAGGACCTTCCAGTCATTTATTACAGTGGTGATTTCCCCCTCTTCACCTCACATAAGGCCTCTATGTAACAGTCAGACCATTATGGGACAAATTTCCTTCTTACCTGTACGTTCTCCATATCAACCTCAAACTCCTTTGAGCCTGAGAAAACAAAGCAGAGTTTAACTCTTTTTCCCTGAATTACACTATTTAGTTCCTAACTGGCCCTTATGGGGAGAATCTGGTTCCATTATACCATCAATTGCTATGAAAGTGGAGCAGCCTCTGGCTTCCACAATTGTACAGATGTGGAAATATACCTTCGGCCAGTCAGAAAACATTATTGAATACTGCATAAAAAGCAATATCTTGAAAGAAATGGCTCTTAAGTTGCATATTCCTATGTCAGTTTTGGAGTTTGGGAAACACCCTTTGATCCTCCCTAAATATCCAATAAGGGAAGCAGTTGTTAAATGTTGGGTGTGGGAAATGGTGGAATAAAACCTGTTGGAAAATTTTAGTCTCTATAGTAGCTGCTCAAGATTTGTAAATGCAGGTAAATCCTATCATAATTATTCATGGACCAAGAATGGAAACTTGCATCTGATTAAACTCTTAAAAGGCTTGCAAAATAGTCAGATCTTTGGGGTTTGTGATGTTTAATGTCCTTGTCCATCACCAGCCTATTGCCTGGTGGTGAGCCAGTATGGTTTGATCACACAGAAATGGGAATGTGGCAGTACTTTAATCTCCAGTAAAATAGATGCAAATGCAATTTGTGCATATCAACTCATGCATCCAGGTTCTGTTTTATGTGCTTCAACTTTTTCAAGTACAATTAGTCTTTTCCCCTTAGGAACTTTAATGGTCTACTCTAAAAGGAGGCAGGCCCAGTCTTTACCCAGAAATTCCCTGGCGTAGGATCTTGCTTTCAAAGGCTGTCCTTCCCTCTGCTCCTGGACTGTGCTTCAGCTGTCTTTCATTGGGTCCTTGTCCTGGAAATAACAAAAAGCTCCCCTTCCCTGGAGGTAACTCTTCCCATTCTCTTTCTCCATCGATGATTTACAAGGGTTCCAGATAATCCCACTCCCAGCAGTCTGTGAGGATCAGTGATTAGTTAGTGACAGCTGGACCACACTATTTCTAACTTCCTGAGGGCTATCCACTCCCTACAGGTACTTCTCTAAGGACTTAACTTTTTGTTTGTTCCATCCAGTGGCAGTTTGCTGTGTTTTCATTATTAATTCAAGGCTACTGTACTCAATTACCCTTACCTTCATGAGATGTGAGCTAGTTGGGTTTCCTTGTAGAAAAAAGTTATGGGAAGCATATTCTGCTGACAGGTCACCTCTAAATTACCATTTCTGATTGAATAGCTAAGGGAATTGAGAAGTAAGTTTGATTTAGATGAATAGATTATAGGCATAGACAAGTGATTAAAAAAATCCTGTCTCGTTGCTATGCCAGACTAAACCCCACTTTGCAAATGGAACAGTATGGTCACTTATTGCAGCTAAACCTGTTAAACAGCAGGGGACGACTCTTTGATAGCAGTTTATCAATCTTTCTGAGGATTTCCATTAGCTTTCGTTATCACTGTACAGACCAAAATTGAAATCCCTCTTGTCTAGACTGTTTTCCATCAACCTGAAGGAAGGCAGAACTAAGCTGTCATTTGCCTGTGGAAGACAGTAGAAATCATTAAAAATAAATTAAAGGGTCCAGTTTCCGTCTATATGACAATTTGGTGGATCAGCATAGTGGTGTTGTCAGGTATCTGATTTGTCATGTTATAAACTAGCTGACGGAGTTTTTCTTCTCCTTCTTACTTTTGGCTTTCCCTTCCTCTTGTTTCAAGCTAGCTGTAAAAATAACACATGCCAAATTTACAAAGTATACCCAAAATCATGTGCATGAACCCCTTGAATGTAGGTGGGGATGAAAGAGTGGACTAGCCTTTCCACGGCTGCACAGAAGAGGCAGGGGGCATACAGCTGACATCTGTATGTAGGACTTGGAGTAGGGATGCCCTGACTTCTAATCCTGCATCTTCTGCCAGTTTGTTGTGGTGATAAGCAGGTTACTTCCTCTGTCCATTTGCCCATCTACAAACTGGGGCTGAAACATATGAATCTACCTTTTGGAGGGGGTGGTTGTGTGTGGCACTTTGAGGATAAAAAGATATTGTCACTGTTGTGTCTAAAAATCATAAGTATGTACACTGCATGGCGCACAAGCAATTCATTAATTTTTTTGAATAACATCTAATAAACTCTAATCCCTGAAAACATGTATTCTTCTGGCTTTATGAAACCACCTTTCCCCTGAGTGAAATTAAAATTGCATAAAGCATTACCCTTATGGAGGCCTGTTTAATGGATACAACTATATTCATGGTATTTGTGAATTAAGATGTGAAACTGTTAAAAAAAATCCTTAATGTAGCAGGCTCTGTACTTCTGGAACATGATTCTGAAATAGGACTGGGAGCAGTGCCTTTG